CGCCGCCCTCGCCGCCCTCGCCGCCCTCGCCGCCCTCGCCGCCCTCGCCGCCCTCGCCGCCCTCGCCCTCGTCAGTCCCGTTTCTTCCGCTCTCATTCAAGAACACTGTAGCTGCCTATTTGTCTAGCATACAGCGTCTCTCGAACCCTTCAGCAGCAGTCAGGTTGTAGGAAATGTAACCTAGACGCCCGCGAAAACGACAATTTCGCTATCCCTAAACTCGCGTCTTTTGCGCCGCCATGACCAGTGCGGGGAGGAAAACGAGATAGAGATGGGCGCGTGAAGGAGAGGGGGGAACAGCTGCACGTGCCGTCTCCGAGGGAAAGAAGACTTGAGAGTAGCGAAAATGAAAACCGCACCGTCCACAAAAGAGGGAAAAGGAAGGTGGAGAATAAAAACACGATCTCAAGACTTAACAAGCCAAGGCGGCGCGAGGGACACGCGGAGGGAAGGCGGGAGACCTTCCGTGGGAAGCAAGAAAGCGTAACGAAAGGAAAAGTAGTAATGAAGAAACGAGGTAGGGAAGAAGGACAGATGCTATTATAAATCAATAACAACTACGCAGTACAGTCAACCACAGCGAGCGAAGGCGCCCTGGGCAAGACGGAAATTTACTGTGAAGCGTCAAATTCAAAGAAAATAAATCACTATCAGAGATGAAATAAACGACGCGCCCCTACAAAACATTCGGCTCGAGGGTAATGGATTTGACATCCCCAGCGTCCCCGTACATCGCACTTCCTTCCTGTTACAAACTGTTCCCTCGCCGAATGCTTGGGACAAAGTGTATCAGTTTCACAGGTCGGAATATCTCCGAGTTGAGCTTAGTAAGCCGTTCGGGGCTTTCACCTTCGTAGCACAGCTGTAATGAATTTCAATTTCTATCTCACACTTTATCCCTACCAGATAAACTACTCTAAGCCCGCAAACATTTTTTCCACATTATAAGAAGTTTTCAAACAGTCACATAGAAATGTATCTGCTGATCTATTATTTCTTTCATTGCACGTGTCGATTTCGACAGCCCGCATTTACTTTCAATTATATTATATAAAATAAGTGTCTGGATTCCATGAAGAATTTGTCATGTGAAACAAATTATTGCTTGGAAAACAAGAAAATTAACTATTGTAAAATAATTATATATCAAAATTATGACTAAGACACAACATATCGCGTTATTACGTTAAAAGAACTGTATTAAGAAATGATGAAGATAATATTTTTTGTACAAAAAAATAAAGATTTATAAAATGCGCTAAGAAAGTGATAAGAATTTTATGATCAAAGAATAAATAATTTATTGTAATAATTTATTATTCACTCATTACTTTGTTCTTACATTATTCTCTGAAAAAATCTATCTTTAAACAAAATATTTTCTCAATAGAATCACACTGTTTCCAAATTTTCATTTTCTCTCATTAGGTAATACTAAGTGACAATTACAATACTAATGCAATAATAAACTTGAAGAAACGGTACTCATTTGCTTATGATATACTCAGGTTCCTCTGTTGTTTGTCCGGTTGTTTACTGATGTTTATATTATAAATATACACATATAAATTCACTTCTAGCACTACTTATTTTCCTACGTTTATTTTATTTCGTATAATCTGAAAATTGTTATATGATATCAGTAGTCAGTATACCTGCTATTGTTGTGTTATAAAAGAATTCATTGCAGGCAGTATACTTAACTCTATACCGTTCAAGAGGTACTCTGAACTTCCGTTAAATACTTTTAAAACAATCATAAATGGTAGATTGAGTGTTTTTCGCTACTTTTCTTGGATTATACTAGACATTGTTCTCTGGCTAACATTTTCAAGAGCATTGACAGATGTATTGAAAGGTACCACTACGTAGTTGACAAATATTTTAGAGCTTGCAAGTGCACGTTTTGGCGATGCAAACTTAAACAAAAGGCCTTCACAGCAATGTGTCACAAGGACCAAATTTCCACTTTTCGGTGCATATCTTGCCGTGTCTAATTTCAATATCGGAGGGTTTTCTAAGGAAAGTTCCTGACGGTTAGCGCCTGCTCAATTCACTTATTCTTTTCTCGTCCTAGTTACCGCCTGTCGTATTTCACTAATCCTGATCTGGCGCTTTTCTGTATTGCTACGAGTAAGGGAGACTAAGGCGACCGTTCTCCCAAACGCGTCTCTCCGGGTCGGCCGTAGTCGCGCCGTATCCAAGGCTTAGGCGGGGGCGGGGGCGGAGGGTCGGGGTGCTGGGCGGATGGTCCGAGCCTGCTGTGAAGCGGAGCGGGGCTGGGCTGAGCGGGGCTGGGCTGAGCGGAGCGAGGCTCCTCCACTCCGGCGCCTGCTTGGTTTTATTCGGGCCGCGCCGGGCCCGACGCAGCGACGGGCCAAGGCGAACACCCTGTATGAGGCAATCTAATTCTCTTCTGCAGTTAACTTCAGTAATTTGATTCTGGTTTTTCTACCGTGCTCTTCTCTCTTTCCTCCTTTTCTTCAATTTGCTCCAACAGCAAGCGTTAACAACACTGTGGCACGTTTTTGGCGAGGGAATTAAAAACGCGACTTGAATTATGTACACTTCTCGTAAGTATTCGAGAAATTTCGTTACGGCAATTCCGTCTAGTTTCCAAACTCATCTGAACAAAATTTAAATTGTAATACAAGAGAGCAATGAATCTCATAATGGATAAGTTTCTTTTCAATAACCCGAAGGCAAGCAACAAAAAGCGTATAAATGAAGTTTCTCATTAATAGTCTGAGTGCATCAGGTGTCATTTTCAACGGAAACGAAAATTTGTCAAGCATAGAATCAATAAGATAAGAATATCAACCATATACATGGCATATCTGTAATTGAAACCAGTCCACTCCAGTAATATGATCCGTGTCGTATAGAAATGTTCATTTGATTTATTTTTTACAACGCGACACGACCTACCAAAGTCCCGGTTTGTATCACATCTAACATCAACGCGTCGTTAACTAGACAGAAAATGTCTTTGCTTCGGTTCGACGGTGCGCGTGATCATTCTACCCCTCCTCCCGTCCCAGCCCTTGCTCCAAGACACTGAAGCCACATGCTCAGGGTAATCGAATGTCACGAGGGAGGGAAAGGTTTCTGAACTACTAGCTTGGGTGACAGATTTTTTAAGTATCTATTTCGAAAAGTTGCCTCGTTAACTTGATAAATTAACAGTTTTTTACTACATGATTGTTTACTATAAATTCAGTGAAATTAGTATTTATGAAATTATTGCGTCTTTGTTTCCAGGTACTATGACGGGTCACCAACAGGAACGGCAATGCAGTATTTCGCAGCTGAAGACAACGCAGTGCAATGCAGCGCGTCTTTCTGAAGAGCAATATTTAGCATCATTCATTGTCACCAAAAAATAACATTAAATGTACAAATAACTCGCAACTGCGCATATCGATGGAAACTGATCAATGAATAAATTCGTTTTCTCCAAATACTGTATGTTCTTATTTGGGGGAGAAAGCACCTAGATGAAGGTATTGGTAGCGCGGAGGCAACTTGCACGACAAGGCAAGGCAAGGCAAGGCAAGGCCAGGCAAAGCACGGCAAGACGACGCAAACGGAGGCAAGATAAGGCACGGCACGGGGCGGCACGGCGATGCGGTGCGGCGCGAAGCGTCGGGCGTG